TGCTGAAGCTATGCTTCTCAGATTCTGATTTGGTGGGTCTGGAATGAAGTTCAAAAGTCAACATTGCTAACAAATTCCCAGGTGATGCTGATGTTGTTGGTTAGTGGACCACATTGTGGCATGCTGCTATGCTAAAGCATTAATGTAAATCATCTCTAGCTGTGGTGAGTTCTGCATCTTAATTGCCCTGCCCTTGAATTGGTGAGAGGTTAGACGATTCTGTATGCCCTGTCTGTGTGCCCTTGGCAGGCTCCATCCTCCTATCATTCGTCTGTCTCAGGGGGATTTGGGAATGAGAGGCAGCTTTTCTGCCAGAAGTATGGGCTTCCTCATTTTTCTACCCCAGGACTGCATGGGTTTAAGGCACTGGACCAAAGGAAAGCCTTGGCATGGGGTTCTGGAAGGTTAGTTAGCTGGCCCAAGATCAGCATTTTATTTCATAAAGGAGTCGGAGATTACTCAGTTTCTTGCTGCTCACTTATTGCTCTTTGGCTATAGACTAAAGAGATTTGCCAAAGCCCAGATGACTACAGTTGCAGGAGTGGGCCCTACTGAGGCCAGCTTCAACCAGCAGAGCTGCCAAGTTGACCCACAGGTTGATGAGTCACACAAAATGGTTGTTGTGAGCAGCTGAATTCGGGGGAAATTTCAATACTATATTATTATGGCAACAGATTACTGAAAGACTATCTGTGTGGATTTGGGAATTTTTTAAAACCTTTATAAGCCTCTGTTTTCTCTGTAAAATGAAGATAAACCCACATAGGGTTATTGTGAAGATTAAATAGAATAAGAAAGGGGAGAACCTTGACCCAGTATTCCAATAAATGTCAGAATTAGAACTACAGTTTTCCTGTATACAGCTAGTCTTCAAGAAGCCTCATAGAGAAAGAAACTTTCTGGTAGAATTAAAAAGACATGGTGTAAAAAAGAAGAGAGAAGTGGGATTTGTTATTCCCTTTTGGTGTCAGGTGGTTTCACAGATCATCCAATATATTTTATAGAATTCTATCTTCCCTACCAACTTATGTGGTAAGTTTCACTATTCGCTTTTCATAGATGAGGAAACCAAGACACAAAAGCGAGCTGATTTTGTTAAAGTCAGATAGTCAATGGTAGAGGGCCTGGGATTAAAAAAGCAAAAACACTAAAAAATGAAAAATAAATACAAAAGTTAGATCTTTCACTCTAAATACCTTGCTCTTTCCACTATTAAAACCCAACTCAAACCTTAACCACATTACAGTTTTTATTAAAATATTTTTATTCAGAGCTCCCACTACAGAGTAAGAAAATAGATATCTTAACCAAACCTTTCAAAGATTACTTTTGCTTTTTCTATTTAACTTAATGTATCTTTTCTTTCCAGAATCAGTCTTTCTCTCCATCTCTTTGAATTTCTCCCTGACTCTCCAGTTATGTCTCTCTCCCTCTCTTCTCCCTGACTCGTTCTCTCTCTCTTTCTTTCTCTGCCTAACACAGGCTGTCTTCAGATCCCTGCAGTTAAAATTCAAGTGGAAAACAAGTGACTCAGCAAGCTGGATGTTGATTTCTTTGGTTTATTTGCTCTTAAAGAAAAAAAATTCTCTTGGCAGCATATCTAGAAAGAAAGAAAGAAATGAAAATTGTAAGGCTCTTGTAGGAAAAGCGTCATAGGTATACACAGTCTATATGGTATTTTAAAATTCAACCAGACAGGAAAGGAGGCCCAAGCTCACAGCAGAGTTTAAATAAACCTCTTTACCATTTGTGCTCACATGAATAAGCCATTTCTTCTTTCTATGTTTATTGTCTGTAGGAAATCAGACCTAGGATTGCTTTTTTTTTTTTTTCTTTGAGAGGGAATCTTGCTCTGTCACCCAGGTTGGAGTGCAGTGGCACAATCTCAGCTCACTGCAACCTCCGCTTCCCAGGTTCAAGTGATTCTCCTGCCTCAGCCTCCCTGGGATTACAGGCGCCCACCACCATGCCTGGCTAATTTTTATATTTTTAGTAGAGACAGGGTTTCACTATGTTGTCCAGGCTGGTGTTGAACTCCTGACCTCATGTGATCCACCTGCCTTGGCCTCCCAAAGTGCTGGGATTACCAGTGTGAGCCACCATACCTGGCCCCTAGGATTGCTTTTGTCAAGTGTGATTCTACACCTTTATCTGATTCTTGATCTGTACACATATAGCTTTTTTACTTTGTATTCATAGAAACAAAAGACTCAGAACCATGTTGTCATTTGGTACCATATGACCTAGATTTGGATGATGTGTTGGTCAGCAAAGGCCATGTTATACTGCAGTAACAAACATCATCATGCTCATAATGGCTCATAAGAAAAGTTTATTCTTCCACTTGCTATGTGCCCAACGTAGATTACCAGAGCCATTCTTCATCATACTCACTACTGGATATCTGCTGATGGAGGTTCCAACTTGGGATTCCATGATTGTCAATGTAGACAGAAAGGGGGAATGAGTCAAGCACAGGTACTTAAATGCTTCTTCTGGAAGAGACATTCATTACTCTTACTCATGCTTAATTGTACAAGTCAAGTCATGTGGCCTTTTTTTACTTTAGGGAGTGGGGAAGTGAGTCCTCCCACACCCCTAGAGAAGGAGAGCCAGGGTTTTATAAACAGCTCTAATAACTAGCCCAGATGGTCTCCCTGAAGTCAGGTAGGGTCCTTGCTTCTCCTTGACCAATAATAAAGTAGGATCCTAGCTGATTCACTTTTCTCTTAGGTGAACTAACTTCTAGGAAAGAAATGATGTCATATCTTATTTTACAGCTTAGAAGGTTAACATGTACAAGAAATGTCTGTGCTTTGAAAAAGGTAATGCAAAATTTTATTCTTTAAAATAATATGTACCTGGAGATAATACCCTTAAATATAAGCAACATCTTTTTTCAGTTATTTCTTGCTTCCAATGTTACCTGGAAAAAAGTCTTACGTTGCTCATGCTCTTGTTAGGAGTTACTGACTTTATTTTTAACCTATAATCCATAATTATCACTGAGCTCCAGGAAGCTAAAATTTTATTCATATTGTCGATGTGAAATTTGGCTGTCCAAGGTGCGCTGAACCTTCAAATATGTAGAACATATTTTAAGAAATGGCATGCATATGTTTAAATTCCAGCCAAATAAAGGTCCTCTTGTGATTTTCTAAAACATTTATCACATTTTCTACCAAACAAGATCGACAGAACTTGACTTAGAAAGCTGGCACACAGCTTCATGGAAACAGTTTCTAAAGCAGTGCTATCCAACATAACTTTCTGTGACGACAGAAATATACTACAGCTGCCTTGTCCAATAAGATGACTACTAGCCACATGTGGCCATTTAGTGCTTAACATGTGGCTACTGACACTGAGGAACTGCATTTTAAATTTTGTTGAATTTTTATTAGTTTAAATTTGTATAGCCACACAGGCCAGTGCTACTATATTGAATAGCACTGCTGTAGAAGTTGGCTTTCAACTAATGTTTATTGTTGTTGAATTTTTAAAAACGAAAATGCATCCTTAACTTGAAATAAAGGAAGCTCACATGTGCATTCCTCGTCTGCTTGCTGAGAACCTGAGACTGCCACAGGAATGTTTTCTAATTCTGGGGTGTGAGCATCTTTCAGTTGTAGCAACCTGCAGAATCACTTATTTGGGAGTAGACTCTGGGTTAGGGCATGCTGAATGGCATTTTTGGCCTGTGGGATGGGATAGAGGGCAAGCTAGAGATTGTCCTCAAGAAGAACTATTACATCAGTTGGTTTAGTGGCCTGATACCCTCTCCTGGTGAGACCTATGGGCTCCAGAAGGTCACCTGAAGTGGTCAAGGAGAAGGTCCTGCCAGTTCATGCTGCAGAAGAACTGAGGTTCGCAAACATACAATCATCCCATAACTTACTCCTATGCCATCATCCCCCATCACTGTGGGGATCAAGGTTGACAGTTTTACATCTCCTTCTATTATTTGTCTCCCACCTCAGTATGCTCTCTCCATCATTCTGTAAAATTACATTCGCTATTTTATCCAATTTTTCTAGAGTATAAAACAAACATAATTTCATCCCTCCCCCAAGTATACACTCAAAAGACAAGTGCTCACCCTACAAACCAGCTCTCACAAATATAAACATTTGGGAGTGGACATTGACCATCACCATCATCATCACCAGGAGAAAACAGTTGACAACACTTCTTTTCTGATTTGTCCAGAGTTGCCAATCCTTCTTAGGTCTAATAGGTGCCTCTGTGCTAAGCCCTCAGGATACAAAGATGAATTACAAAGGTTTCCTCTTTCGGTGAGCTCCCAGCCAACAGCTGGAGATAAAAATATAAACAGTTGACTTGTGATTACACATAATAGTAGTGTGAGGTGCTTGAAAACAAAGGATAGGGAGTGACACAATAAAATATTTAGAATGAGATTAATATTCCCCCTAGTTACTTTGAATTTAGAGAAAGAAATATTTCCAAAACTGTTTATGGTAGATATGGCATTAATATTCACTAATCCTGATGCTTCTTTCTGGTCTCACAGGCTACGTTACTCAGTCTCATTTTTTGTTTTTTCTTTGAGATAGGGTCTCACTTTGTCACTCAGGCTGGAGTGCAGTAGCATGATCTCGGCTCACTGCAGCATCAACCTCCTAGCTCAAGCCATCTTCCCACTTCAGCCTCCCAAGTAGCTGAGACTACAGGCATGTGCCACTGTTTTTTTCTTATTTTTAATTTTTTTTTTTTTTTTTTTTTTGGTAGAGACACGGTCCCCCTATGTTGCCCAGGCTGATCTTGAACTCATAGGCTCAAGTGATCCTCCTGGCTCAGTCTCCCAAAGTGCTGAGATTACAGTCATGAGCTACCACACCCAGTCACTAGCCTCATTTACATTTAGGCAGGGGCCATGTGACAAGGTTCTGGGCAAGGTATCTGGTCAAATTGATGTGCCTCCCATAAAAACCTCCTGTTTTTTTCTTACAGAAACCTCATGTTCTCTTCTCTTACAGGAGCCATGGAAGCCAAATGCTGAGGATGGTGGCATCATAGGATGAATGGAGCTGGGTTCTTGAAGAACTGCTTGGAGGAAAGACAGCAAAAATGCCTCATGAATCCAACTGGACTGTTAAGTGAGAAATAAACTTTCATTGTGTTAAACCACTATAATCTGGGGGCTGTTTGTTGTAACTGCTAGAATCAATTACCCTTGCCAATATAGGGTTCAAATGGTTTCAACTGGGTTATCAGATATAATCTTTACAATCTCCACATTTTACCAAAGAAGAAATGAAGTAACTTGCCTAAATTCATACAGCTAATTTTTGGAAGTTCTAGGACTAGAACCCAGTCTCCCAATTTCCAGTCAAAGCTCAGCTCTACAAGGTCAAACTTGTCTCTATTCATCTATAAATAGTTTTCAACAACTCTTGTATGACTGCTGGTAAAACAGAAATATGTATATTGAATTTTATGGCAAATAAAAGTTGTCTTTATGGGGAAGAGAACAAGATAACACTGAGGTTTACCAAAAGTGATTTATTTTGATATTAGCATATTTAGGTTGCTTATAAAGTGCTGAATTTGAAACATAGCTGGACATATTTTAGGTTTATCATTAGGCAATGCCTTGTTATATTGTGTGGTTTTGTTATTCTATGCCAGTTATATAAATTTATCCATTGCTGGGAGGTTGAAACTATTTGGATACAACATGTGGGTTCATCAATTACTGAGAAGAGTAGACTAACTTTTTCAAGACTCAATGCATCAGATTGAGCTCTAAGTTTCTTAGGCCATGGACTTAATCCATAACATCCATATTTTCTAGAATAAAGTGGGACAAAAAGAACCTAAAGTAATTCAATTGCTATGGTAGATGCTGTTGCCAGTATGATCAATAGCCATTCTTCCCTTCCATCATAGATATCAGAATCTTGATACATTCGAGTGGAACCAGCCTAGACCAGGTGATGATGAATGGTGATGAACATAAATCAGAAGTGGCAATCTTGGTCTCCCTTGCAAATGATAGTAGTTGGAATGGAACCAAATTCTGGTCAATGAAATGTAACTAGATAGCCACTGAAGGCTTCAGGAAACTATTTTCCTCTTTTCTAAGTGGAAAGTATGAGGAACAGCCATTATTGTCTATCCCATCCTTCCTGCATCTGGATTTAATTAGGTGAGGATGTGACTCTTGGAGTGGCAGCAGCAGTTCAAGGAGGGGGAAACACCTGTCTGGGTTGGAGCATTCTGTTCTTCATATCCCTTTGCAACACTCCCTCCCACAAGAGCACAGTTGCTTGTTTTTCAAGTCATGGGAATTGAGCTATTAAGGATTGGGCTCTGTTTAGGAACTATATGGTTCATGTCCCCACTCTACTTCTCTGACAAATTGGCCTGGTTACCATACTGTCTCTCTACTCTGAGTATGAGTAATACAAATAATGCCTGCCCTCAAATTTTTTATTTGTAAAACCAGGATGATAAAAATCTACTTGATAGTGTTATTGGAAGACTTAGATTAGTTTATTAAACTAATGTTTACTGAGCGCCTATCATGGGCCAAAATTGTGGAAAGCACTTATGATGCTAAGTGAACAAAGTAGACATGGTATCCTGCCCCTATGGGATTTCGAATCTAGTGGAAAAGACATGCAAGAAAACACATATTGTTAAGTAAATACACCAAGAATCAGCAATCAGTAACATTTTCAATGAACTGAACAGGATGGGACAATGGAGAAAAATGGTGGGGCAGGAAGACCACTTTAGACAGAGTGGCCAGAAAAGACCTTCAAAAGGTGGTGAGACTTAATCTGGGATAGGAAAGAGGTAAAGGAAGCCACCAGGCAAAGAGCAAGAAGCAAGGAAAAAGACTTGTAGCAGATTAAAGAGCAAGAGCAGAAGCCTTCAGATGAGGAAGAGCTTGGCTATTTCAGGAGAAGCAAGAGAGCAAACATGGGCTGGGTGCAGTGGCTCACATCTGAACTCTTAGCACTTTAGGAGGCTGAGGAGGGTGGATCACCTGAGGTCAAGAGTTTGAGATCAGCCTGGTCAAAATGGTGAAACCCCCTCTCTACACAAAATTACAAATATTAACTGGGCATGGTGGCGTGCTCCTGGTGTCCCAGCTACTCAGGAGGGTGGCTGAGGCAGGAGAATCGCTGGAACCCATGAGGCAGAGGTTGCAGTGAGCCGAGACTGCACCACTGCACTCCAGCCTGGGTGACAGGGTGAGACTATCTCAAAAAAAAAAAAAAAAAAAGGGCAAATGTGGCTGGAATGTAGTGAGTCAAAGAGTGACAGTGGCAGGAAGAAAGACGGAGAGAAGGAAAGGAAATAGGTCATGGGCCATGATACCCAATTTGGATTTGATTCTAAGCATGATGAGAAGTTCCTGAATGGTTTAAGCAGGTAATTGACCGATCTTCTAGGATTTTTAAACCAAAACCAGCTTTTGTGTAAAAAAGGTTTGGAGAGGTTCAGAAGGGATCAGACAGCAGGCCACTATAGTGCTGTTGGCATAAGACATGAGCAGCTTAGACTGGTAGAAGTGATGTGAGTGGAATGAACAGAACTAAATGGATTCAAGAAAAATTTAGAAATTAGAATCAACAGGATTTTCTGATGGATTGAATGTGGAAGGTGAAGGAAAGGAAGAATTAAATGATATTGTCTAGAGTTTTGGCTTGAAGAACTGGACAAATAAGGGGGCCACTTTTTGAAAGGAAAACATTGAAGAGGTTTTTAGATGGGGTAAACATCAAATTTGGTATAGTTTTTTTTAATGGCTATGAGATATCTATATGGAAGTGTATATTGGTATTGAATACATGTCTACACATATATCTAGGCTGCTATATCAGTTAGCTATTGCTGTGTAACAAACCACACCAAAAGTCAGCAGTTTAAAACAATAGCTATTTTGTTATCCTATGATGTTGCACATTGTTTATTTAGCTGGGTTAAGCTGGAGGGACTCATTTGGTCTTGCCTGAGTTATCTCATGCATCAGTAGTCAGCTGCAAGTTGGTTAGATGGCTTTGCTTCTGGGGGTTGTTTGGTGGTCAGTTAGTGTAATGTTCTGTGCAGTTTTTCGTTCTTTAGTGGGCTGCCTTGGGTTAGATCATATGGTAGAGGGAGGGCTCCAAGAGTAAGCACAGGCTTAAAGTTGGTAATGCAATTGGCATTCCCCAACCTTCTATTGGTCAAAGAAAGTTATAGAACCAGTCCAGACTCACTGGGTGAGGAAATAGATTCCACCTCTTGATATGAGTTGTTGCAATGTGACTTTGCAACAGCTCACATCAAGATATGAAAGGGATATAAAGAGGCCATTAATTGGGGCCATAAATTCAATTAATTGGCTGTAGTACAGGTTATAACTCAAGAATCTTTAGCTTATAGGTGTTATTTAAAGCCATGGGACCAATTGAACTCAGCCAGAGAGAGGTTTAGATGAAGAAGAGTTGAATTCTAGGAAACTTAAGCATTTTGCCAATAATTGATTAAATAATTTATCAGTGAGGTTGGTGACAGCAAAAAGACTTAGAAGGAAAGGTCAGTGATGTAGAAGATAAAACAGGAAGCAAAAGCATGTAGAGCAGAGATTTGTGTGTATTAATGTTTAATAGACTGAGTCTGATATAGTTCATATTCATCTACTGAGGGTGTCCTCATTTCAGGGCACGTAGCTACCTCTATGTTAGAAAAAATACGTGGTATAAACTACAGTCCTACTATCCGTTCATGTAGAATATATCACTGAGTTGGAGGGACAGCCTCGTGCTTATGTAAAGTTAATAACAAGGCAGGACAACTACACAGGTGTTTCTCAAGAGCCCATCAGTGAGACTTTTTAAATAAGATAAAGACTTAACCCTTTTGCTGGTTACATGAGTGTTTTAAGTTTGTGAAAATTCATCAGATCACATAGTTATTACTTATGTGTTCTTCTATGTCAATGTTATACTGCAATAAAAATTTTAAAACCCACACACATGCCTTACTCCTCTGGATTGTTGAGGCCTCAAAGTGGCTTAGTTTGATTAAGGTGCTAAATGACGTTTCATAAGAACTTACTTTTATTACATATATTTGCGTATATGTGTGATATAGTCATATATATTTCAGAGCCAAAATTTAGAAAAAGAGGCTTGGAAATAAACAAAACAAATTCCTTCTCTTTGTGAGCAATTTAATCATGATTGATTTTTAAAACTTTTAATCGTTTTGAAAAATATTTATTACCTTTGTCTTCTAACCCAGCTTAAATGAATCTCCAGTATGTAAAAGGAATTTAGTTATCTGCCTTAGCATGCATTGTCCTTTTAACATAGAGCAAAAGAAAATTCAAACAAGAGAAATTGCTTTTTGTTATAAATTTATGATAACAAAAGGTATAGAAGCCTCTTTTGAATAAGAAGACTCAAGAACAAACTTGCAACAGTTAGAAAGAAAAGAAGACCTTGCAGAAATTTTTTAGAAGGCCAAATCAGATAGGGGCTTGCTTGGAAAACTGGCATAGGGACAAATTGGCTGGGTCAGAAAGGAAAGCAACTTTTAGAAAATTGTCTATGGAAACAATCAAAGCATCAAAAGTCGGTAAGAATAATTTAGAGATGCTGGGGAGGAGGGAGGGCAAGACATCTCAGATCCTCAGGAGGTTTGCATCATGTTCTACGAAAAGTTGAAATAGAAGCAAGCCTCTTATAACTAATGCAACTAAAAAATTATTATTATTATTATTATTATTATTTTTATTATTTTTGAGATGGAGTCTTACTCATCGCCCAGGCTGGAGTGCAGTGGCGCGATCTCGGCTCACTGCAAGCTCCGCCTCCCGGGTTCACCCCATTCTCCTGCCTCAGCCTCCGGAGTAGCTGGGACTACAGGTGCCCGCCACCACGCCCGGTTAATTTTTTTTTTTTTTTTTTTTTTTTTTTTTTTGTATTTTCAGTAGAGACGGCTTTTCACACCGTGTTAGCCAGGATGGTCTCCATCTCCTGACCTCATGATCCGCCCGCTTCGGCTCCCAAAGTGCTGGGATTACAGGCGTGAGCCACTGCATCCGGCCTAAAAAATTATTATTAACTGTGTGTCCATGGCCTGTGAGCATAGTCAATGG